GGAGGAAGGATTGAATACCGCCCCACGTGTTTTGTGTAATGTATGTATTCTTGTACTAGATGACATTAACGTCTACGAGAAGTGAAATTCACCTAGTTAGCAGGTCAGGACTAAGCCCAGGGAGGGGGAGGAAGTCCCCCCGGGGAAAGCCAAGATTGCTCACGGATCCGGGGACTCCTTCCCTTCTAGGGCTTAGTCCTGAACGTCTACAATAAAATAATGTGCTTTCCATGGTTTGAAATGCTCTAGATCGCTATGCCCCCCTTACTGGATGAGACCCCAACATTTAGATGGACCACCTTCAAATGGTGTTTTCCCACCACTTTCAAATGGTGTCGAGTCGCTGGCACATCGTTCGATCCGCTGGTACACAGCTCAGTTCGCTGGTGCAATGCTCGTACCCCGCGATTCGCTAGCTAACCGCTGGTTTCGCAAAGTCTGACATTGGCCCCCTCCCATCTCCGCCCATGACAGCCATACTCCTTTGTAAATGAGCTGGTCACAGTAACGATAAGTTGATTATACATAATAGTACAGGTAAGCAAATCGACTTCGAGACGTGCTTTATTGAGTGTAACGATATCTTTATCTACGATTACTCAATCTAGACTACGTTACAAAGACCTTCAGCCACACTGCAGGTATACGCTCCTGGACATCCCGCGTCAGTGGTACATGGCTCGCCGATTGTGTAGATTAGCTGGTTCATGTAATTCCCTCTAAAACATTCTCAGTAAGTGTCGTTTTGAGCCAAATTCAAATTTTTACTTACTGAAGCGAAACCTAGAGGAATTTAGTTGTAAGCCTATTGGGAAACGGGAAATGAGTGATAAAACGGTCTAGAGTGAATTTAAACGTACGCCGGTCCATATTGACAGACAGCGTAGGTGAACGTTGGGCAGTGCTGGATCGAGCAGCCAAGTTTGTACGTGCGGTCCCACGCCATCTGATAGAAGAACGATGGAATTTTAGGGAGAACTTTTGAGTTTCGAGGAACAGATTGAGTCAGTGCGAGCTTACCTGCGTGTAATGGCCAACCGCCATATTTGGTCTGTTCCATAGTTCCTGGGTCAATATATTCTCTGGTCCCACACCATACTCTTTGAGTTCATCCCACCAAAGTTGCGAAGACTAAACTGATTCTCTTTATTTCTGGCAACATCGACTAGAGCTTTACTGAGGTTTGAAGTCACCCATTATTTGAAAAAAATTACGCGGTCGCGAGGTTACCAATCTCTGGCCCATACATGATAGTAAACTGGTTGAAACTGCCAGTTTCCATGATCTCACATTGAACGTGAGGTTTTTCTATTTTGTATTGCTTCCCAATAGCGCGACCCTACATATCAGCCCCTTAATTAACGCTAACGAGCTCGACGGGTTTACACTTCTCCCCTCTGTGTTTGGCGTGAAAATCGAGTGTTCCCTTGTTTTTCCAAATCCCACAATCTGTGCCCCGTGGCGCAATGTTATGTAGATGTCACAATGGGCGTTAGGAAACGCGATCGATCGATATGTGCGGGCCAAGGGTTATACGTCTCCTTCATCAACGCATCACCCTATGCCCGCATGTATCGATCGATTTCGTTCCCGTTCCAGTCGCAGACTCTGACATCGGCCTTATCGATGCAGCTTCTGAGACGTTAGATTCGATGTGTAATACTCGATTACGTGCTTCTGTCAGTGAGGCGAGCTTTAGATTCTCGACAAGGGGCACTTCAAAGTTTCGTCGTTCCTTATCGGTCAATGACAATTCCTAACACTTGGTTCCGAGTTCAGGATGAGTCAGGACAGGCAAATATATGGAAAACGACTTTTGAATTGAAAACTTGTGCGAAATTGTGACCGACCTCAGCTGCGCTGCTAACTCGGTCAGCATTCAACATCGTAGTCATGTAGAGATTTTCGCCTAACCCCACGCGATCAGCGGATGTGGAGTGCTCATAGACACATTTCTGGCTGTGTTTGATAGCAGATGCCTCAACGCTGCAGTCATAGACCTAAAGTCCTAGTTTCAGTCCGTTGGATATGCAGGTAAATTTACTCTGGAAAAGCAGTCAACAGTAACTCACCATCTTCAACATTTTTGAAGCTTTTGGAGCATTTCCACCGAGCGCGTCTGGCTCCAGACCATTAGCTACTCGTGACCTGTGAAGTATGTATATACAGGGGGGCAATAAAAAAAGACATTTTGTCTCCACTTCCAGATGGATTTAAGCACATTTTGCTCAACTCAGACCGAATGGTCCCAACTTATTATTGAAGAGCGCATTCCATTCTATAAGAAAATCTTCATAGTGGCCACCTACGTGGACGGCATCAGAAGAATTTGCCCTGGAAACATGGTGCACTGGTCGAGCTCAATGGGGTCTTC